ACAGTACTATGCCTTTGTCATCCCTCATTGTTTGTTAATAATTGTAAATGTTCTGTCAGTAGTAAACACACTATCAGTAAAAAGTTTAGACACACATTCTTTACTTTTCTTTATTATGACTATTCTTCACATTTAAAAAAAAATATGATATTACTAATAATGAATAATAAGCAGTATCACATTGCATCTATTTTATTTATATTTATCATGGGAAAAATTAATTGAGTCATGTGTGTCCAAACATATAAATGGTACTGTGCGTTGCACTAAGGCAGCAGTTGCACATTTTCAGTTTCATTTTTTCAAATGTTGGTTTTCAGTGATTTGTCACTGTGCTAATTTCACCATTTAATTTCATTTGTCAGTGATGTGCTGACTTTTTCTGTCTCAAAATAAAAATGCTATTTCATGGAGTTAAATAGAATTGATAGTTTTTTAAATGTTTGCAAAATCATCTTTTGTCATTGTGACTGTCAGAGTTATGTGTTTGTATCATTGTTGCCAGCTGTTATATGTTTGTCTAGACGTGGGGAAAATTATAGATTTATTTATGGTTATTTGTATTTCTTTACCTTTACCAATGACTGGCTGACTCTCTTTTGTCCTCTGTCTCTCTGTCATCAGATCATGTTCCAGGCCTATGGAGATAAGCAGGGTCCTCTTCATGGCATGCTCATCAACACACCCTACGTCACTAAAGACCTCCTGCAGTCCAAACGCTTCCAGGCCCAGAGCCTCGGTACCACCTATGTCTATGACTTTCCAGAGATGTTCCGTCAGGTATCTCTAAAGACTAGTCTAGTAATGGCAAACCTTTACACATTTTAAGATTTAATTTTATTTCAATATATATTCACCATTCAAATGTTTAAGGTCAGTAAAAAAAAAAAATGTTAAGGAAGGAAAACTTTTATTCAGCAAGGACGTGTTACATTGAGCAAAATTGGCAATAAAGACATTTTTTAATGTTGCAAAAGATATATATTTATATGTTCTATGTTCTTTTGCACTTTCTCTTCATCAAACAATCCTGAAAAAAATATATCATGGTTTTCCAGAAAAAGTACTGTTTTCGTAATTGATAATGATATTAAATATTACTTGAGTGGTTATCATTTCATCATATTAGAATGATTTCTGAAGCATCATGTGACACTGAAGA